AGAGGAGTAACTTAGTCGATATTCGAACTAAGGAGTTAGAGTACAGGAGCTAGGAGTTTATATACGCGGAGGCACGGTTCGGAGCTCGTATCGATAGGGAGTTATCGGAACTATGAACCATGTGGAATAAGGAGTTATCGGAACTATGAACCATGTGGAAACGTCAATCGTAAGGACGGAGCATATGGTTACAAGCTGATAATCGGAGGTAGAATAAGTCCGAAGGGAATATCAAACCGTTAAAGGCATATCGGTCGTGAACGTCGGAGTTGAATCCGTTATGACTCGAGAACTACCGGGACGTTGAGTCGCCGGAGGACTATTCATGTGATAACGTAGGTCCGGTACCGGAGCTGCTACTCCGATGGCGGACAACCCGGAACGACCGGAGCTATCGTACTTGGCCCGGTTACGGCCCAAGATCCGACACGTGACAGTTAGAATGATCCGAGCGGCTAAGGACTTCGACGTAAGTTTTGCGGCCATCAAGTTATCGACAAGGGTAAAAGAACAACTCCCCGCGTGGTTCCACCTTGGAGCCATGCCAAGGACATACCACCGGACCAGAGACCTGTGCCTCCAGGACGTCCACGGAGTAGAATCGGTAAAGGACCTATTTCAGATGGCAAACAGACTCGAAGAAGCAGGAGGCCCTCACCGTAACAGGAAGGACTGCCGGTGCGACCAATGCATTGCAGACAGTACAAATGGGTGCCGGAACCCTACTGCGTGTTGCAAAATAGCGCACCGTATCCTGACGAACTTAAGACCTAAGTACGACATATATGTGCCGGAAGTGGGGGATGGTCTTACCCTGACACCCACACGACAGCAAGCGAACGTGTGCGGACAACGGAACGTGAGGAACGGGGGTCAGATAGTCTTCGACCCCTCGGTGACGACGAAGTCGGACTTAGCGGACTGCTTCCGGATTTTTGTGGACAAGGGAAAAATAGGTGGGGAGCCAGCATTGAGGGAGCGTAGGGGCCTTAACCTAGTGCATGAAGAAGTGATTGTGTACACCGACGGATCGTGCAGTAACAACGGGAAAGAGAACGCACGCTGCGGAAGCGGCGTCTGGGTGTGTGAAGGACACCCGGCGAACCAAGCAGTTCGGATACCGGGTAGATCGCAGTCGAACCAGCTCGCCGAAGTAACTGCGATTGTACTGGCCCTGCGGAAGATTGGAAACTTTGTCCCTATCGTCTTCAGGACGGACTCGATGTACACAATAAACGGACTCACCCGGTACTTAGGGAGCTGGGAGGACTGTGGATGGATCGGCGTGGCAAACAGCCACGCTTTTAGAGCGGCGGCGGGGCTGCTCAGAACACGAACCGCAGTAACGAAGTTTCAATGGGTTAAAGGTCATAGCGGGATAGAAGGCAATGAGATGGCGGACCGATTGGCTGAGTCGGGAGCACAGAAAGAGGTACTGGACAATGTAGACTTCTCGGTTCCGGAAAGGTTTGACCTGCAGGGTGCGAGGATGTCCACCATTACGCAAAAGACGGCGTACAGGGGCATCATGGAGAGGCTCCACGTGAAGGAGAGAGCGACGACGGTGAGGAACATCGACAGGGCCCGTTATGCTGTGGAAGAAATAACCGGGAGCCTTGAAACCGATGGCGCTCTGTGGGCCGGTTGCCGAAACAGCGCCATAAGACGACCTGTTCAACAGTTCGTGTTCAAAATGTTACACGGGGCATACAAAGTGGGAGATTACTGGTCACATATCCCCGGATTCGAGGACAGGGCAACCTGCTCCCTGTGTCAATCAGGGGAAAAAGAGAGCATGGAGCACATACTCATTCACTGTGAGGGCTCACATAGGGAACTACTCTGGAACGCGGCCGCCCGGAGATGGCCAAGAAACTTAGGTCCGTGGCCGACGATCACTTTTGGGACGGTCCTCGGCTGTGGATCGATTGGCCAATCACCGAGACATGGACAACCCGGTGAAGGTGAAGTAGGGACTTTGAATGTCGACTCCGCTCGGAGGCGGCTGATGCGGATTCTGATCAGCGAAACCGCATACATGATATGGGTAATGAGGTGTGAATCCGTCATAGCAGGGCGGAGACAGACACCGAACGCGGCCCACACCCGATGGGAGAACAAGATACGGGAGAGACATACATCGGACATGATTATCGCAGAGAAGCTGGTCAGAAATAGAAAATTGACGAGTTTAGTAAAAAAGACGTGGGGAATACGGTGGAACGGAGATAACGAGGAAGACGACTCAGGGGATCTAATGGGGTTTTTAGTGGGTGATGGCGTCTGAGACCCCTACGTCGGGGTGACGACGCTCTAGCCCCACAGTACTCGCCACTACGAGTCTGCGAGTGCATTTTTGCCTCAAACGGAGGGCGGGGTCCGTTGACTCGCTCGCACTGTGAGAGGCCGGGATCAGTTTGATCTCGCCCCGGATCGGCACCCTCACGGGGTGTGCCGCTATAGCCAGGGAGCGCGGGGGGCGACTTTGTCGCATCGCTGCAGCGCACCCATTCACGCTGGCTCATCCAAAAAAAAAAAAAAAAAGAGAGAGGCC